TGTTTTCCTCTGGGTCTTGCTCTCTCTTGCATTCTTCACCCCTCCATCTTTCTGTCTCCTCGATTGCCCATATTTGCCGTTCTCTCTCCGGGCTGGACACTTTGTCCTCACGCTCCCTGTCTCCTTCTCCTCATGCCAGTCCTTCTCCTCCTCCTCCTCCTCCTCTCTGCCTGGGCCCAGTGTGAGTGATAAATTATTCGTGGGCATGCTCGGAGGGCCCAGGGCTTCTCATTCCTGCACACAGAGGACTAGCATTGATCCAGCCTGTGGTTCAACTTAATTGGAAACCCAGTTATACCAGCTACAGACACACTTGCGCACAAAAACACAGCGCGCACACGCATGAACATGCACTCCCAGACACTCCACGTACAGTAAAGCCACATTCAGACACACATATGGACTGTTGTATGGTAGAGTATTACACCTGTGTGTAGATGCATGTTTGTTATACATGTTTAGTGTCAATGTTATTACACAAAACACACAAATGTGTCTCGTTTCTTCCCTTAATGCTTTGAAATGCGGCACAATTAACATTTTTAACTGTTTCACATCAGCTGTGTTTTACAGCAAAAATACTAAAAAACTCAAAATTTCATACAAGTGCGTATTGTATCTAAAATACAAGAATAAGTAGGTAAGCATACACACAGACACACGCACAAGCACACACTTTTTATAGCCACTAAGCCTGCATTCTAAGCAGCACTAAAGAGGAGTAACAGTCCACAGTGGAGCAATATGGAGGCCCAGGTTTATCGATTGGACTGAGACACTGACTATCATACAGCTAATAGATTACATCAGACACATCGAAGCGGCCCAGTCAATGAGGCCTGATCCTATTAACTGGGGATTTGTAAACAGTTGTGTGCTCACTGTGATGGCTGCTGTGCTGCTTTGTGAGCCTTGGCGAGGAGATGACGGCTGTTAGGGTTTGAGGGGCTGCTCGTATACAGCCGCACTCTGCCCCAGCAGACCAGCGATCACTCGGCTCCTCTATTCCGAATGTCGCAGTTTAGCTCACAGAAGACGACGCTGTCAGCAATTATAATTTCACACTAGTGAAAACAGCTTCGACAGAGTAAGATAATCCATGACAGGAAACACGAGTTCGTCCACGTATTTTCTTAGTTTGTTGTGTACGAGTTGTCATATGTTTGTCCTATGTGCAGCAGAAGTAATCCCAGCATTCTTTTTGAAACATTTCAGCTTAAAGGCTTAAAGTCAGAGCGGCATTTAAAAAGAAAAAAAAAGTTGGGATTAGTTCATTTCAGTAGAATCAGGTAAGTGCTGGTGTTGTGTGCAGTCATTGTGACGGAGTTAAAGTTACAAATACAATCTTTAGGAAAGTATGTTAACTGGAGAGCTTTGGTATCTGCCTAGCAAACAACAGTCAATCAGTTCTCAGTCCCAAATCAGGACACTCTGTTGCTTGGTCAGGGTCAGCATCATGTTCTAACACAGCTGGTGTTTCCGAAGTGTAATATAAACTCTATAGTCAGACAGAGTTCAATAGGAGTCCCTCTATATCTGAAATGGACACCATGAGGCTCCAAGGAAAAAGTGCCCTGCTGGTGTTTTTACTGATGTGGAACATTTAACTGTGACAACAAAACTTGCAGATTGGAGATGTTTTCTTATAATAAGCAGTTAATGCTGTGAAAGAGAGCTTTGTTTTTTAAACTTAATAATGAAATGTGGTATCTTCACTCCCCAAATAGTGACTGAAAATTCAAGTTATAAACAAAATATTTCAGTTTATAATCATGTCCCAGACAGGACGCCCGTCTTCTGGCTGATTTTCATGTAATCACCTGCTTTCTGTATGGTAAAATGGTAAACAGTGCCGTGCATGCTGGAAATAATGATAAAGGTACATCAAAAACAATGGGATGCTATCATGGTACCTGTTGCATTAAAGTATGACCAGAAAGGCTTCTAGGCAGGAACAGTACGTGATGAGTCCAGAGATGAAACAGCATATTGCTGCTACCTTGACAGCTATTGTATTTCACCACCTAGTCCTTCACTATAAACGTCTACTGCAGCCTGTTTTGCAAGCTAGCACGAGTAACGGTTTTATCTATGCTTTTTTGATTTCGTATATGACATTTGTAGATAATAGCTGATCGCATTTCTGGTGGGGATGCACCAAAATGTACATTGGTAATAGCGCTGTTAAATGGCATCAAACCAGATATGACATTTACTCACTGCAGTAGCAGTCAGTCTGCAGTTAAATGCTTTTCTAAGCGCACTAAAAATACAAAATAGTAACAGCTTCAAAAAGAATCCCCCTTAGACTTTACCATGTTGCTGCTACTTGATGCATTTCAACTTTAGACAATGTTTTCCCACAAATGTTTTTGGTTAAACTCTACGTGTGAGACTGGCTGCATCCATCCATCCCTTTTCTCCCACTTATTCAGTTCAGTGTCACGAGGAGGCTGGAGCTGCTATAGGGTGATAGGGGACAACTTAGACAGGTTGCCAACACAGAGAGGCACCAATAATCACATTCACACCTATGGCCCGTTTAGAATCACCAGTTGAACCTAACACCACTAACTGTGGACTGTGGGAGTAAGCCAGAGTACCCAGGAAGAATCTACACAGACTCTGGGAAAAAATGCAAACTCTACACATAAAGGCTGTGGATGGTGGATTTGAACCCAGGACCTTTTGCTAGGCAACAGTGCTACCCACTACTCCACTGTTCCACCATACAATAGGTGGTCAAAAATATAAATACATCTAGGATGTCATAAATAATTAGTGGATTTACTAGAGATGTTGGCAAAACTTAGTTTAGAAACCATCATTAACTTGTATTGTTCTACTTTAATAGTGCTTTGAACTTGTGGCAACTAAACTAAAAGCAGTGGAAAGAAAGAAACGCACATCTAGCATTCCTACAAAGAGCTCCTGCAGCGAAAAAAACCCAGCCACCTCTGTCTGAAATAAACCTCACAAGTTAACAGCTCAGTTCATCTTAAGTCCATTACAGCATAAGCAATAGTTCTGTTTAACCAGCACTATGGCGGATGCTGGTCGTGGGGTTTTCATATTAATTTCGTGGCCTAAACCTATTCACACGTCCCTTCAGGGGCTGTGCTGCAAAGAGGAGTGAAAACACTGCGAAAGAGAGAGAGAGCGGGAGAGAAAGAGAGGGAGATAGCAGCACTGCGCTCTCAGCCAACAGTGTGTTTTTAAGAGCAAAACGACTTTTCCAAAATAAATAGATCTGTGTCGCTGACTGCTAGGAGAGAGAGAAGCCCTCGGTTCAATAATTAATTCCCGAGTCGAGAGTTTTGGAGAGCCGCTGATTGGGCTGATTTTTTCTTTTTTTTATTCTGTTATGATACAAAGGAGGCCGTTTGAAGTAATTTGTCCCAGAGAGAGCAGCTTGGAATACCATACATGCTTTGATTTAGCAAAGCAAATTTAATTTTGTTTGCTTTATGCAAACCAGCCGGGGCCGCGGGGCTTTCTCTGATTCCACCAGAGGGGTGATGGTGGTGGTGGTGGTGCTGATGATAGAGGTGGGGGAGTGCACACAACGGAATCACGCTGCTGCCGCTAATATATAATACAGACCGCACACTCGCGCACAGACACACACGCATGCACGCGGTGAGCAGCAACAGTTCAAAAGTACAAAGCTTACACACCACCCCACGCACACACGTGCACAGTCCAATCCCTTTGAAATCAAAGCTTAAAATAATTGTTTGTGCGTTGTGTTTTGTTTCATTCTATCCGTCTATTATTAGTGTTACTGGTATTATTCCTATCATGTTGTTTTAGCTGCTTGTTCGTGCTGCTTGCCAGGGTTTTGTTTTATGCTGCTAATGAAAGCTTCTCTCCCCGCTTTTGTTCTGCTTTATTTTTTTCAAATACGTGAATGGAATACATCTGTTTATATCTGCGCCTGATATTTCCCAAGATGTCTAACACCCAGCCGCACAATAATGAAGAGGCTACTTGTGGGTTTCTTCCCCCTTTACTTTCCAAAGGCCTTTTTTTTTTTTTTTTTAAATCTCCACGTCTTAGTGCAGATTTCGCCGTTGACTGACACGTTACACCTTAGCGCGGAGCCAGATGCATGCATGATGTGTTGCAGTTTTATCATTAATGATGGGAGAAATTAGCTGTGTAGTATACCTTTAATTACCTTCCTTCTATCCTTCTGTACTGGAGAAATGAGTGCCTGTGTACAGATGTTGAGGCACACAGCAGAAGCGTTTCTCCTCAGGAACAGGAAAAAAAAAAAGAAAAGGTGTTCAGAATGGGTAGCCAAGCGGTTTTCTTATGCTCCATTCAAGTCATTTTCTTAGGGAACAATAATGAGTGGATAAAGCAGAAAAACCCAATTTCCTTTATGCTTTTTATATCCTGAAAAAGCCCTCATTGACGACCCTTTGGTCTTTTGTTATAGAAAACTGAGCTAATATCCTCCAGCTCTCTGCACAGTTTAAAGGTCTTAATTGGATTCCATTAGTATATTGCTTGACATGACACTTGAGTCCGCTCCATTAGAATTCCCCTGCCCGGGATTAAAAAGAAGATTTTTTCTACATTCGACTCTCTTGGCTCTTTTGTTAAAGTCTCATATATTCTTTGTTGGATTCACAGTTTTTAGTGACACCATTATTAAAAATGTAAGCTTGACTTTAAGTAGGTGCTTTTATGTCTAGAGGACCTGCTATTAAAGGTATGGCAGCGTCTCATCGCGGCAGTTTATGTATCAATAAACCTTTGCATTAATACAGTGCAAGCTTTACATGTGGGCCTGATAAAGTGTGTTGTACGCCCCATCAAACCGTCCTCCAGCTTTTTTCTGCACAAGACTGGAGCGCTGAGCTCCCTGCAGGTCTCTTTTCAGAGTATCACGCAGAGTTGAAGTGTTTCCTCTGTGGTTTCAGTCGGTGTAGAACACAGGCCAAAAGGAAAGATGCGTTTGATGATATTCTGTTTTATGTCTCTTGCCCTAGTCCTGAGCTGACGTGGAGGGATGTTCAGCATCTGATCGCCAAGACAGCAAAGATCCCCGACCCTAAAGAGCCTGGCTGGAACATCAATGCAGCAGGATACCATGTTCACCATAGGTACCGTAAAACATGCATGCAACACAAACATGTGGCGTTACCACTGGGATTAGTCCCAGCAGTCTGCCACCATCTCGCCTACTTAGCTTACTTGTAAACTAATTCATGTATTAATCAGTCGCATTAATCATTAGGTCTATAGATTTTTATGAGTACATAGCTGAAACACTTGTTTTTTCTTACCCCAAGGTTGTGCAGACAGCACAGACTTTATAAAATCATTTCTCCAGTCCAAGAAAAATTGCAAAAATATAACCCCCATGGGCGTCGTAAGGACCTTGAAATATTTGGTGGTGGGTGGGGATGGCTCTGCCCAGCCCTGAAATTTTTGAGCGTATATATGAGAAAAATGAATGTAGTAAAGGTTCCTAAGATGGTTCCCTAGCATAAAGTGTAAAAAACAAAACAAGTGCAGTCTAACTTCCCTTTCATCTTCATTGTCATGTTTATTTCCAACAGTAAGAGGAGAACAGAAGAATTATAGCCGTGATGTAAATAAAGCAGTCATAGGCTTGACTGTACGTTGCCAATACTTCAAAATAAAATCGACCAATCCGGATCTCCCGAGCTTCTGTTTCTCTTGTGCGACAACGGCCCTGTTTGAGCTGTGACGAAAATGAACTGTGACAAACTGCGTTAACTCTGTGTGTTATCTATCTGATACCCTCCTCTTCTTCACCTCTCCAGGAGCTCTTTTTGGTGTCTCATCTCTCTGTGACACTCCTTATCTGCTCTGCTGTCTCCTCCTCTTCTCTTCGCCTCCTGATTAGATTATAAAATGTTTCTTAGTCAGTTTATTTTATATGTAGATAGACAAAAGGCAAATGTTGTCTTTTTCTTCTGTATAATCATATGGAAAAGGTTTCCCTTCATGATGTTTATATAATACAAAACCACTTCAGAACCTCTGAGCTCGATTGGCTAGCACAAGTGCTCTCTTGTTCATGAACCTCAGCTTGTAGATGACTCATCTGCTGCAACAGCAACAGGAGACAACGCCTCCCTCACCTCCTCTGACCTCACTTGCACCTCATTGCCTTATACCTCCTTTTTATGTTTTTTATTTTTAAAAAAGGGTTATTATAACTGTTGACATCAGCTGCCAACAATGACTCACTCAGCTCTCTCACTGTTTTCAGGTTGTCTGTCCCATTCTCGTGAACACAATATCTCGAATTTAGCATCAACAATAATTTGTATTCAATGATTAACTAATTACATTCTGCTTGCCAGCATCACTATAAATATTTCTGGCAATAGCCCATAATTACCAAACTTCAAATAAATATCCAATAGGAAGAACAGATGACATCATATATCCACTGAATGATTTAAATAGTTTTGTGCATCTCCTGTGGCAGATGAATTGTACAGTCGCTTTATCTATAAATATTCTCACTCTCCAATATTTGCCTATGTAACAAATATTTTATTTAACTAAAATGTGAAAAGTCATCTGGCCAAATAATTTCATTAAATTCATTTCAAATCAATTCAGTTCTGTTTATATAGCACCAAATCCCAGTAACAGTTGCCTCAAGGCACTTTACATTGTAAGATGAAAACCCTACAGTAATACAGAGAAACCCCAAACAATCAGAAGGGCCCCTTTGAATAAGCACTTGGTGAAAGCAGGAAGGAAAATCTGCCTTTTAACGGGAAGAAACCTCAGGGAGGTTTTCAATTTGATACCATAAGTGCATCTCCTAAAAATGACCTTGACCTCAAGGTTAGAGGTCAAGTTTTCTGAAAATCTTCTGAACATGATAACTCCAAAGAGATGTCATCTGGGCTCTCCAAATTTATACCATTCGTACATCTACTAGGAGACTGAGGGGTAGCACTGGCAGTATCAGTATTTTGGAATTTGTAGTGTGAACGATTAGTGACGTAGTTTCAGTTACTAAAAGTTGATATCAAATTACTGCGGGCAACGTTGTATAATGAGAAGTTGTAGCTGCTGTCAAAGGTACTAAAAACGTCACAATTTCGACTTAAAAGTTTGTGCTGCTGTTGTGTAACAGTCATATTTGAAACTTTCTGACCTTTTTCTGCATATTTGTGAATTCAGAAATTCAGCAGTATTTCTTCATTTCTAAATACTTGTTTTTACTGCTGAAAAGCAAAGTAGTTCAAAATCATTATCTCCTACTGCCTGGGATTGAATAATTTTAATTAATTACAGTTATTACTGGTGACTTTTTGCCTCAATTGTAAATAACAGATAAAAAATGCAGATGAACCATCAGCTGCTGCTTTGTAGGATATATGTTGCTTGTGCCGATAATAAAGATAATCTTTCAATTACGTTACACCTGTGCTGTATGCTTCATGGCATCTTGTAGGCGTAAAATATAATACAGCAAGATAAAATATTTCGAGCGTAAAGGAAGTTTTATGGGCAGATTTATAAAAAGTAGGATTCCATTAATTATACCTATGAACTATAATTTTTGCTTAACCATTGAAAACATCACTAAAACTTTGAAACTGCTATATTTAGAAGGGCACATCCTGCAAATTTGTCAGTCTCTATTTAGTCTGGGGCGTTATAGATACTTATGTTGGCCACTGAATCTATTGAGCTATATTAGAGAAATGAATTAATCTATTAAGTGGTTAGGCTCCAATGACCCATCGTGGCAGAACAGAACCCCAATGGTGATAGGGTTTAGGAAATGACTCCCCTGAAAGCTAGATGTTGGGGGTGGTGGCGGCTTGGATGGAGCTTTGAAATACTCGAGTAAGGCAGAAATGAGGAGGAGGTGGGTTGCACAGGTGATATTCTGAAAGGGAGAATGTTGGAAGAGCGCTGAGATTTAAAGCACATAGAGTGGAGGCTCATTGGCTCAATGAAGGTGGGCAAGAAGATGATTGGACTAGTGTAATGATGTCAGCATTGAGTTTGATAGTGTGGGAATGTGGAGGTGATGCAAAGAACAGTCTAACAGCTGAACATTTGGGAAAGCAGTCAGGTGAGTGATTACAGATCTTCTTTTAAGCTCCTTTTGATTCATTGAGTATTGATAGTCTTGTCAATAGTTTTACTAGCATGTCTTTTATGTTTGTGCTCTTTGGGGAATATACTTAACCGACCACTGGGGATTTTTTTTTTTTTTGTACTGCAACAGCACAAGTGACCTCTTGGAAACACTGACAAGAAGGTTGAGTAGCAGCATCATGTCCAGCTTGTCAAGCTGGGCAAAAGATCCACACCAAAGGGGGAAAACAAACCTGATTTAAACCGACTAAACACCACTGGTGTAAAAGCATCTCAACCTATTCTGAACCAAAGTAGTCACCCCTATGCAGTCCCCTGTTGGCTTCACTTGCAATGCCCGGGAGCAGTGTCCATCTTTTATGTACAGTTTATATCTGAGAGTTAACCTCTAGCAGTGACCTGATGTGTGACACTGCAAACAAGGCAGGCTGAAGCCTTCACTGTGGACTGGGAGCAATAACCACATATAACCTCTGGCTTGATAACAAAATATAAGTAAGAGAAAATCTCCAAACACATTAACACATATTAACATTTTATCTGTTTAACCTTAGTACTCAGGTGTTAACATAACAACCAGACTTCTACTACCTATCCACTGATGCTGTTTCCACATGCGCGCACACACACATACACACCACTTTTGACACACACACACACACCAATACACACACATACACACCACTTTTGTCTTTGCTCACACCTCCACACTCTCCTCATATATAAAGTGCTTCAACCACAAAAAGCAGCAGTCTGTTTTATGACAGTTGAGACAGGTGATCTTGTCCGGGGAGGAGTGTCATTGTAATCCTCTAATGTTATTATCACACCCACAGCGTGTCTGAGTGTCCGTACCTGCAGTGATTTACAGACACAGGCTGGAGGGACTGGAGCTTCTCTCTCTCTCTCTCTTGGTGTAGAACCAGAGCGAGTGAGCGAGAGAGAAACCCATGCTCTTCTAGACATCCCATAAACGGTTTTACAATGCTTTCACAGTGTCTGCCAGGCGATGACATACCGGTAATCAGTCATAGTGTTAGTGATGCTTTTCCCTCCTCACCGTCTCACTCACCTTAAACTTGCTTCTCTTCATCTTTGCTGTAACTAACACTCCTCGCCTCTCTTTGTAGTTTTTTTTCCTCAACATTCCTCTCCTCTCCTTTTCCCTTTTTGCTCGCTGTTATTCTCGCTCACTCCTTTCTTATTTCTCTCTTCCATCCCCTCTTTCGCAGCATGCCATGTCATAAAATAGATTGTAATTACTGTGTTGCTGTGAGAAGAATGGATTAATTAAAATATAATGATGCCGATCACACCAGCGGGCATCTGTTGAAATCTGCCCATTTAGGGGCTATGGCAGAGGACTTGTAATGCCCTGATCATACTGCAGCGGCCACACTAATTATAAAGAATGGTTTATTACATGCGTCAGGACGGGTGGACCAGGCAGTGCCACAAGCACAGGGTCACTTACCATCAATAAGGTTGTTGCAATACATTAAAGATTAGATGTGATATCTGTAACGAGAGGATCCAGGTTTAAGAAAATTAAAGACAGTCCTGAAGCGCGTCGCTGTATGAGGTTAGACAAGAGATGCTTTCATTAGTACTTGAGGTCCTGAGAAGAAGATGGCTTAAATAAAATCAAGAAGAAAATGATAAAGAGCAGAGTGTGTTTTCGTTATTAATAATATTATTACCATAAAATAGTCCAACTGTACAGAATTATGTTTCTAAAAGTAGGCTTTGGACAGACATAAAGTAGATCTGTTATACTAATTTCAACTTTAAATCTTTTTGGACTCAACTAGTGGAACTTGCATGATTCTTAGTGTAAATAATCCTTATTTATTCTTATGTATAATCTTTGTACTCGTCCTTGTTTCGTTTAGTTCATCCACTGTCTGAAACAAGCTTTGTCTCATTGGCTCACCTTCATAAATAGCAGGTCTGAAGAGCAGTTGTATGTATAAGGAGACCAAATTAAGGGTATCTGCTG